TGCAGGGCTTGAGTGTGCTGGTATCTAAAGTTAGCAGCAGCACCAGAATCAATCAGGGCCAATGGAGATGGACAACCTGCTCCTGTAGTCCCAGTGTCTGTTTGGTTGTGGTGGACCTGATGCTTCCATTTCTTTGCTGGGGACATTTCCACGGAGGGAGTTGAGCAGGTAGCCCATGCAAACTTTCATAGCTGCCAAAGGTCAGAGCTAGAGTCAGAAAACCAAGGATCAGAATTGAGATCAGTTGTGCAAGAGATAGCTGACAGGCAGTTCTGTAGCTACAGCTAGTGGAGGAGTTTATTTTTTTGCACGGACACTTCCTGGAGCCCCTATTGCATTTATTTAGGGAACTTGGACTAATAAAGAAAGGGCCATGAGAGAAGCTGTCAGTTTGGCCGTCGGCAATGGTGCTTTGTGATATGGATGTCCATGGGGTCTATGTGCTAAGTCACTGACTGATCATGGCTACTGGATAACATGCAGGCACTGACCATCTGGCACTCTGCACATTGGGATTATAGTCCCTACAGAACCTCACGCCTTGGCATTCTTCACCTAGTAAGTCAATGGACAGCGAGTTTCCTCATCCCAGAGGGCTGTTAGCCAGGCCTGGCTGAAATCACTGGGGAGAATGTTGGGTGAGAAAAGCTTCTTTAGACAGGAAGATAAAAGCTGGAAGTTATACCAGGCTCTAGAACACACTTTATTATGATGTATATATAACCGTTTGTCACGATGTTCTGACTCAGTTCTAGCCAATTCCTGGCCACTGGCCTACATGGATCATGGTGGTGAACCCTGGGTTCTTCCAACGGACACTGCTCTATTTCCTAAGTGTTTTATTTATTATGGACTATATTACAGTCTTTGCTTTAAGGCAGAAGCACTAGTGCCCAGAGGAATTTACTCTGGAGAACATATGCCTGAATAGCCAGTCCTGGGGCAGGCATAACGCTACATGGTTTGGACAGAAAACAGGGGATGCTTATCCTTGTTTCATGTCACAAAGGAATCAGACATAAGAGGCATCTTGCCTATACTTCCAGTGTATGGTATTGGACAAGTTCAGCCTCACTCAGGCATACAGCAGACTGGAAGGGCAGGGCTCCTGCCAGAGGATAAAAATAAATTTCTTTCAGCTGCCTCATTCACTCAACTTCCAGTCCATCCTGTACACTGAACAGGCGGGGATTTTGCAGGAACAATATATGTGATCATGTTAAACAATCACAGTGCTCACATCAGAGGGTGAAATTAAGGCTGCCTAGACATTTCCTGCCTCTTTAGCATTTCATTGTGCAGCCTTAGTGTGCTTATAACAATTTTTACACAGAATTAGCAGTGGATTAATTATTGATGGAAACATTATCTGGATTTATTACCTTATAATACTGTTGCTCACATCACGTACTGACAATCTCATTTCCTTACTCCTGCTTGATGTTCCTCTGCTTAACATGCGAGGGTCACAATAGGCTTCCGATCCCCTACATTGCAGTCAGAGCACGTTTAGTGTTTTCACTGAACATTTCTCTCTGCTTTTCAGGAGACAGATCACACTAACAGGATGAAAAGCTATGTTCCCAATTCTTAGGTCTTTGCATTTGGCTACATTAAACCATGTTTAAACCCTGGATTACTAAGTGAATAGCACCATCTAGATCTGTGGTGTCCAACTTGCTGTGCTAGCCACTAGCCATATGTGGTTACTTGGCAGGTTGAGTGTGGCTAGTTTGCTATAGCAGTAGCCACTGCAGACTTGTTCCCTCTAAGCCAGTATTTCTCAACCATTTTTTTTATAAAGTACCCCCTTTTTAAAAAATATCATAGTACCCCTAGTACCTACAGTTTTTGGACAATTTTTTTCTAACATTATAAAACATTTCTTTACACAACTTAATCGCAGCCAGGTGGGCAATGAAATTTGAGTGTAAAAAGTACAAAAGTAACAAAGCGCTGTAAAACTTACAACAAAAATTCAGTCCTCCAAATTCTAGTTATGTTGATGTATGCCCCAGACTTCTCTCAAGTACCCCTAAGTACTCCTACCATGGGCTGAGAAACACTGCTCTAAGCTGCCCTGAGACTGACTGGGTGGGGCTAATTAATCAGCTGTGAATCTGTGCTGCCACACAGCTTAGAGGGAACACTGCTAGAGGGGCAAATGAATATGAATAGTAAATGTGCTCCAAAAAATTAATTGGGGAGAGGGATACATACTATATGCCCTAATCTGGGTGAAATTCAGCTAGTACTTTCACCTGGAATGTGTTTCAAAAGGTCACAGTTGGGACACTTTGGAAAATATTATTTTACAAGAAAACTTTTGTATACCACCTGCTGATAGACTGTGAACCCCCAGGGTTCCAAATCATGAATTACAAGTCAGGCCCTTCAAAATCCTGCAATTTGTAAAGCAAGATCAGGTCTGTCAATTCACCTTTGGGAGCCTTTAAAAGCCAAGTTTCCGCTTTTCTCCACACATAGCATAGCTAGACACTGGCTCTTGTTTTAAAGACCAGTGAAGACTGTCCCACATTCATTGGATTCCTGGAGCTGGTACATCAGGGATTTATCACAGATCATGAGATGCATTCTAACACCCCGAGACATAAGCTTTCATGCTAGTCTCCCACCAATAAAAGTTGGTTCAAAGAAAGTGTTATCGCCTCCATCTTGTCTCTAGCATCCTGGGACTCACACAGCCACAACACTGAGACATCCTGAGCCAGCCACATTAGACAGCACTGTGGGTGAGCCCTTGACAATGGGAAACCATACAGTAGAGACTTAAATAGGCCTCATCTTCAGGGTGAAAACTACTATGGGTGTGGGGGGGAGGGGAAGATGCACCTAGCTTGAAGACTTGTGAACTGTGGGGGAAGGCGTAAGAGATGAGTTAATGGCAGAAAGCGTGAGAGGGAATGATTGAAAGTGGTATTCCTGGACATTGCAGCAGGACTATCTGAATATCTTTCAGGGAGAGGGCTACCCAAAGCCTGCAGCAGGATAATCAAGTGCCAGACCTGCTTTCACCCTTCCCTTAGGCATTGTCAAAGGCAGCTGGGCAAACATCTGATCTTTTAGTGAAATAAAGCTGCTTAAAGCTTCCCTTGCGTGAAAGGGAAGAGCCTAAAGAGCTAGGAAACTGTTTCCACATTAATTTGTTTTATACCCTGCCTGGCAGCTTGTCAACTAGCCAGTGCATGCTGGAGGCCTGCAGGTATTTTCCTGTGCATGTTCCAAACAGATGCACCTTAGAATTCTCTGGCCTGCAGCAGGGAAGATCAGACATCCTATCTGCAGTTGCGGGATCATGTATGCCTCAGGAACAGGTGCAAGCAGTGGCAATGGGCCTCATAACTACCCATTTTGAAGGGGGTCGGCTGATTGTTTGTGCTACACCAGTTCAAGAAGATGCAGAACAGCAGCTTGAATGCTTAGTGCCTTCCTGCTACACACCTTTCAGCTGTACAGGACTCTAGTCCCCCAGAAAGGAATACAGCCTACATCTTATCCCCTGTCCTCTGAGCTACTCCCTTTTTGGCACATGAAGGCAGAAGGGGATCACAAGTAAGGTTTGGAGTGGATTGCTAAGAGGTATGTAACAATGCTCACTCATCAAATTTGACTGCTAGTCCCAGCTAGGACTGCTCTAAGCCTGCCCTGAACAAACTGAGGAGCTACCCCTTCTCCCCTATGGCTCAGACTCACCAGCACAACAAACAAAGCCACTGAG